TCATTTTATCCTCGACCCTCAACCATTCGATTTGTCACCGGTGTTACATTTTGACGTCATTGGTAAAGCTTTTCTTGTGTAATAGTACATTACATAACATTTGTTTTGCTATTTGAGAAGAAAACCGTGCATCAGTGGAAGCTGCTACTATTTCAAGTACTTTAACAGTACCTGAAGATGGTAGTAACTTACCGGAGAGTGAACAATTGTTATTAAAAATATTCAACAAAAAATGGAAACGCAGAGGCTACCCAAGCGAAAAAAAAATTCCCAAAAAGCGCAAGATCTTGTAAAAATCTTACAGGAACGAAACGGCTTGAAAGAACAGGGAAGATGGTGAAACTATTGAATTAAAAAAGAAGCGATTCGAACGAGAATTTTCACCCTCTTTAAACTATCATTTATCTCATCACGGTGTTATCCGAGAAACAAGTACAACGAGAGTTGGTTTCAACGATTCGTGTTCAACTTCATCGGATATTTCACCAAATTAAAGTCTACGGAGAGGATTTACCTTTTCAGCGAATCGTAGGCGGGAAGATACTCCTTATCTAGCGATCCGTTGCATTCGTCGATAGATGAATATTCTTCTTGTTAACCTCTCGGTGCCGCGACACTTTTGAAGGACACCTATGCCGAAGATACTTTGTACGTCGCCTCCACCATCGACGAAACTAAGGAAGTTATCTTCTAATAGAATCAAATCTTGACGGCGAGCGGTTTTAATGAGCGGAAATGAATCACTAATTGTTCAGACGCTCTATTTCATTTCCCTCCTAGTGTTCTTTCCTACGCAAAAACGTATTTACGTTTCTTACATAACTGTAAGTTCTTACGAATAGAAATTCGTGATGACTATTTGATGACAATTTTAAAAACGATCAAGGATCATCCGACAACTACTGCGGTTGATATAGCCAAATCACTCACGGCATCAAAATCTGTAACCGTAAATCCCGAAACAGTTCGATTTGTGCTTCGAAGTGAAGGCTCCGCAGTAGAGTTTCCAGAAAGAAGCCACAATGGATATTCCAACACGATAATGATCCCAAGCTGTATAATGTCCCTAAACAACTATACTCACCACCATAGTCACCGGACCTCAACCCCATAGAGCACGTATGCGAGCTTCTTGAACGCAAAATTCGAAAGCTACATATTAAAAATAGAAACAACTTGAAAGCTGCACTATTACAGGATTGGCAGAGTATTTCACCAGAAATTACAGCTAATTTAGTTGATTCCATGCCTCGACGATTAGCATCAGTTCTTGCTGCCAAGGGAGGATCTACCAAATACTAATTTTACTATGTAAATTTCGATTTGTTTTGATTAGAGGAAAAAGTTTACGTGATTCAGTGTTATGGAACCAGGGAAAAACCGATAAATATGGTTATTGCTTTATTTAGTGAAAAATTTCCAAATACTGGACTTCAAAGTAGTACTTGTTGGCGTTTAATCAAAAGATTTCTTACAGCAGGAAGTGTTCACCATAAGAAAAAAAAATTGTTATGAAACTGATTTGAATCTGAGTTAACTAACTGTTTTCTTTTGTGTGCAAACACACACTTAATTTTTTGTGAACATTTTAAGAACGGATTGTTTATTTCTCCCGAACAATCTGAATCTCAAAACAAAAAATTGTAATAAAGTACTATTGGCGAAAATAATAAACAATGGGTTTTATCAAAGTAGGCCAATGATTTCAAAAATATGCATATGGCCAAAGCTTTTCATTCCGAATAAAATTTCTTAGTAACATTTTAGCATACTGTAAACAGAAAAGGTATTTTACATTAACTTGTTTTTTAAAACTTGAAAATATGTTCAAAATTAGTCTTTAACCAAGCAAGGCTAAACCCCAGAAGATGACAATTAATATCGAAAAAAATTTACATTTTATAAGAGTCGTTTCACCTATCTGGGGACACACTGTGTAATTATATAATCAATCAATCGTTCATTAAAATATTATCATCAAAATAAATGTAACCACACATGGCTAAACCCAATGGCTAAGATATAGGGCTTCAAAATTAAGAAATTTTTAGAAGAATTAAGATTTGCTGATCATCCGTTGTAAGTACAGGTTTGCCATACTATTGTGGAAAAACGTAGGGGAGACTGGGGCTGGTTGGGCACAGGGGCATGTTGGTACAGACGTTCAAAGTCGGCAATGAAACGACAGAGAGCGCTACGATCAGCTTTTCTATGAACGCATTTATAGTGTTTCTATGGAAATCTGTCACTTTCGGCAATAACATTGTTGCTTGGTTACGTATAAAATAATTTGTGTTTTTGGAAGCGGTAAGTAACTTTTAATATTCTCAGTGTATAGGTTATAACATTGTTTCAATACAGAGTAAAGTTTCGGCAGCTATGCATGATAAAAATAGAGCTTATTTCGTGCATATACATGTATTCTAACCCTACTTTCGATCTCTTTTTCTTCGTGAAAAATAATTTGTAAACTTATAGTAGGCTATGGGGCTGATTGGTACATTTGCATCAGGGACAGGTTGATACACTGTACCAACACACAATTTGAATATTGTTTGCAGAACTCTAGATGGAAAAAATGTTTTAGGTAACCAATTATCATGCGAAATTATAAAAAGAAGTCGCAGAGGGGGAAAACGCCTCCTGATATAATGTTAAGGGCCGTGAAAGCGGTGAAAAACGATGGAGTTTCTTTAAGATCGGCGTCTAGAGATTACGAAATACCTTTAATGACATTGCAAATTAGTTCCGCTAGCATTACACCAACAAGTACTGTTATTATAGGACCGTTTTTTCTCCGATCCGTCACTGGATGTGATGTTCACACACAATACAACGGTTCCGTATTTACAGGATCAGACTATTATTTATATTCACACACTATTTGGAGGTCGAACATTAATCAAACGGAAGTCGCGTAGAATGGATGTTCTTGTGTTATTTTGGTACTATCGTCTTTCATTACACAAAGAAAAGGTGAAGGCGCTAATATATCGGGCGCCGATTCGTACTTTTACTGTTTCGACGTCCAGTTTTTGTTGGCAAAACGGAACGACACATTTTGACGGATCAGTATTTTTTACTGGATCCGGTATACTGTCATGTATTTGAACGCGCCCATTTAAATATATACGTCTTCGCAGAAATAAAATCGGATCCGCAAAAAACGGTCCTCTAAACAGTATGTGTGTGAACGTACCGTTAGGTGTTCACCAGCGAGCAGGAACTCAGTCTTTCTGAATATTTAAAAAAGGCTGCAGATATACACTATGGCCTCAGTACAAAAGAAGTGAGACAAATGGCATTTTTGTATGCTTCGGTACTGAATTTAAACATGCCGGATAGCTGGAAAAACAACGAAATAGCTGGATCCGATTGGTTTTCTTAAAGAGGAATTCTTCATTGTCAATTAGATCACCACAAGCAACTAGCTTTAACAAACACAACGTAGCCGGGTTCTTCGACAATTTACAGACAGTTTTAAACAGATGCAAGTTTGGACCTGGTGATGTGTGGAACATGGACGAAACAGGCATCACTATAGTGCAGAAACCGGATCGCATTGTTGCTCGACGCGGAGTCAAACAGATAGGAAAGGTCACTTCGGCTGAAAGAAAGTGAAAGGTGTCACCTTACTTTATTTTTTCAAGAGTTCTGTTTCAAAACCATTTTCTGAACGATTCTCCTCCTGGAAGTGCTGGAGAAGCCAACCCATCAGGATGGATGAAAGAAGAACACTTCATCGAGTATGTAAGGCATTTTATTAAACATACGAAAGCCTCTAAAGAAAAGCCAGTTCTCCTGTTGCTCGACAGCCACGATTCTCCATGTACGGGGTTGGTTGATACACTTACGATAGTTTTGAAGGGCGGACTGTTTTGCAGTCCCTATTATTATTTGAGATCAAACGACTGCCAAAAAAGACTGCCAACTATTACTAGCTTCCAACAGTTTTGTCGAATTTTTCCCAAATATAAGCGATGAAAAATAAAAAAATTGAAAGTGAAAATTGTACCAACCAGCCCCGGTCTCCCCTACTACTGATTCAGTGTTTTTAGAAAAAATATATTTTACTGATGAGTCTACCCTTTTTAAAATACGGAACCATTAATTTGAGAAATGCTCATAATTGGGTTGAAAAAAATCCACATTTTACGCATGTTTGTCAATTTCAATGGAAACTCAGCGTAAACGTTTGGCTGGAATTGTTGGTGATGTCGTTATCGGACCTGTTTTATTTCCTTCCGTACTTGATGGTGTAAGTTACTTGGAATAAGACTTTAATGTGGTATTTACATGATGGAGTGCCATCTTATTGTATTAATACCGTTAAGGAGTGGTTACATCAAAACTTTCCCGGGCGTTGGATTGGACGAGGACCGGAAGCCCTTATCACTTGGCCGGCTCGATCGCCAGATCTCACTCCCCTAAATTTTTATTTATGGGGGGAGTGTTAAAAATTTGGTATACAATTATGACAAAAACGTATGGAGTCATTTACAAAGATCCGCAAACAAAACGTATTCCCTCGCCTACGTGTTAATTTAAGTCGTCGCTTTGAGACGTGCATTGTGTGTCTGAAGCTGCGTAGAATTCCAAAATTGTCAGAAGAGAAGAACTGGCGGCTCGGCAAAATTTCTCCGAAGAAGAAGAAGAAATACTCGACTGTCCGAACACCAAACGAGAACATGGAGAAATTTGAAATTTAAATTTAAGTGATTACAATTTTAAAACTTTTTCATATTTTTACTTAATTCTAATTCTGGCTGTAACTCTAAACTAATAAATTGGGGGATAAATTGTCTTTCATTATGTAATTTAAATGTTTTATGATAATAAGAAAGAGGTTATAATGATATTCTTTATCTACTTTTAAAAAAAACACGAAAAGAAAACGTTGTGAAACATAGTTACAAAAAACTTTGTAAGTGTTTTAACGACCAATTATCTTTAAAAAAGGTGCATATATATCATGCTTAAACTGTAACAAAGCTAATAAACAATTTTCTATTTAACAGAAAATATGTCTATAAATTATACCGCATATTTCTTACAAGCACTTCTAGTGGTTAGTTTGATTCGTGATTCCATTGAAATCGCGGATGAAAGATGTCATAAAATACCATTAATTAAGAATTTTAACATCAAAAGGGTAATTATGTTTAATCTTTCCGTTTTTTTCTTTTAAACTATTTGCTGATTAATAGATCACTGGTCATTGGTATGGTCAAGAAATAGGAGATCTCGACGGTAACGAAAGCTCAAAACGATGTTTACATTACTTTACAACTCTTGATGAACAGAACTCGAAGACAACAGTTATTGGGTTTAGAATATTCAATGGGACGAGTACCATTGGGAATGTTGAAATGTTTAAAGCACACCAAGTAAATAATTCTTCGGAATTTTTGATAGAATGGATGGAGGGTCAAGCAATACTAAGTGATTGGCTAATTGGAACCGACTATGACACATGGTCGGTGTATTATATTTGTCGACCGGAACAAGTTGATAGAGGAGATATGTTTATTATAACAAGGGCTAGAAATCCGTCAAATACTACGCTGGAGATAGCACGCAATTCAGTTAAAAAATGTGGATTGAAACTGCCAAATTCATATTTTAAACGAATCGATCAGTCCGACTGTGTCTATTGAGTTTCGGATTAATAGATAAATATATTATTTGTTAATAAAAATTGTTAATAAATATGTTAATAAAAATAAATGTCAGTATCAAATATTATTGTGTTTTGAATAGTTATACTATGATCAACATTTTATATTTGCCCAGCTTTAATAATTAAAACGCTTCTACTGCTTTTTAAATTCCCTATGAAGGGAATTCCCTGATGTTGAAACCCTTGTGAAGAAGCTTCGACATAACATTTTTGGGGATAGCATACAATCTGTAACTGTTGATGAAACTTAATTTTATTTTTATGTAGTTTCGGAATAATGATGGAAGAAACCTCCTGAAATATTTTTCAAGAATATACAGGGTGAGTCTCAACCTATACGCATAAACTTGGGGATTTATTCCTCGAGACAAATAATGGGTAATAGGTGAAAAAAGTTGTAGTAAAAGATTTTTGGTTTCATAGTTATATCCGACGACATCTAGATAAGGTACTTCCCGGAAGATGGAGAGGTCGAGGTAGCTCATAGGCCTGGCCATCTCGATCGCCCGAACTCAATCTCAGTCTCTCGAAGTTAATACTGAGCAAGGATTGCGAAATCAGATACAAACTGCTGCCGACAATCCACCAACACACAGCAGTTAACAGTAGTTTACTTATAACTCAGCATCACTCCCACACAGTGTTACCAACTTAAAGCTATTATATTCAACACCCTCTCTCAAGTTACAATAGCTTTGCAAAGATTTATTGCCAGAAGGTTTAGACTGCATGTCATCTATTCCGATAATGGCACTAATTTTGGTACTAAAAATCGGTTTTCCAAATTGAATTCCGTGGAAACAACAAATTTCGGCACAACGCAGAGGATCAAATGGCGTTTCAATCCGTCGTCTGCACCGATCACTGGTGGAGAGGTTGGTGGGAACGCTTCATAGGACTTCTCAAACAGCTCTTGAAGAAAGTGTTGGGAAAGATTAAATTGACATAAGAAGTATCATCCGTGAATCTTAGTTTTGTCAAATAGTTTTTAGTTCATAATTGTGTTCAAATGTACCTGGGTTAACAATAAAGTTAATTAGAAAACCACTCAGTGCGTGTTCCTTTGTATGTGATCATAAAACAAAACTTATTGATAAAAGTGCAATCTAATGAACCACAAATACATATTGTCTACAGAGAACCAACAAAACTGGAGTCGACTTTAATGGGCAACATTAATGTCATCAATTTCTAAGAATCCGAAAAGGATAATATTATTAAGAAAATGATCGACAGAAAGAAGTTTACACTAGGCGACATATATATTTTGTCGCAGATTTGTGAAATCCATCAACTCAGGAGTGAGATTTAAATCCCACTCAGTCGTTGGACGCAATGATGTTTATATCAGTTTATATATAATATGGGAAAGCATTCTCATATAAATAAAATAAAGTTAAGATCCGAGTGAGCAAATTTTCTAGATAAAGAAGATATATGGACAAAACCCATTTTATGGGACGGACATGATTCCATGCCACCATATTTATGGTGGAGTAATTTGAGGGGAACCTGCGAATTGGCAGATATTGCTATTCGGATATTAAGTATACCCATAACATCAGCGGCAACAGAAAGAACGTTTAGCGTGTTTACCTGGCTGCACTGTAAAAACAGAAACCGGTTGACTACGACAAATGCCGCTAAATTAACGTACTTAATTTATAATTATAAGTTATTAAATACATATAAAAGTGACACAAACCAAAATGTAACAGATTCCGAAAAAATTAAGAAGAACATGATGAAATAGACGACATATCATCAGACGCATCTGTCTTAATTTAGATCATATCAATTTACTATGATCAAAAATTAATATATTATTTAGCGTTTCTTGTTTTATTTTTGAGTTTTTGTATAAATAACCAGTGTTAATGATTTTTATTAAAGAAAAACTTTTAATTTTGAATTAAACTTGTTTACTTTTTTAGTGAATTTTGTACTGTTTTTGAATTTTATAAATACCTCTAAATACCTATTTAGGCAACACGTTTTACTTTGTTTAATGGTTGTCAAAAGCTGTCGCCAACTGTGTTTAATGGTTGTGATCTGTAAAAACTTTTTTTGAAATGTTAGAGAATCTCGATCTTTTCTCGCCCCTTTTTATTCCGAATCGTCACCGATGTAAGACGTGATAAGATCAATCTTGAATTTAATCTCTTTTCAACGAAAGAGAAGAATTAAACATAAGTCTATTTTACACAGTGTTTTATTTCTGAATTGGTCCGGCACCTAATTAAAGTACTGTTGTAAAACTAAAAGAAAATTTAAACATATTTTGGCGCGTTCAATACGCTTGGGTAAATACCCCCGGGTATATATCCAGGGAATTTTCCCTTGAAAATTAATACCCGGGTGTTTAACAACACTGATTCCTAGATTATTTTTTGAATTATATAAAAAATGTAAAGCGTTAACCCTCTGGTCACACTATTCTATGTTGAAATCAACGTTCATATTACATCAAAATATCGACATTAGCAAATATTGTAAATTAAATTATAAACGCTTTATAAAGCGTTCGTCTGGAAATTACAAATCAATAAAATCAAAAATCTTTGCTGAAAAGATATTATAATTGAAGCCCCGGATAGTTCGTTCGTGATGTTCAAGGTAAATATAACGAGAATAAAATTTTGTATTAAAAGTAATGTTATTTAGGTTGTGGCAATATTGGAAATTGCAAGAGACTACAGGCATCATGAGTTGTGCTTTGATAGTGAATATAAAAGAATGTGAAAATAAAGTTCCAAGAATATTTATGGTAATGGATAATAACAATCAAATAGTCAGTCTTTTAGAAATTTTTAGGTAAATATACATCCTTGAGGCCAGTATCAATAAACCACAAGCGATTGTTTATACGATACGTTAACGGAAAATGTACTAGTCAACCTGTAGGCATCAATCAATTTGGAAAGATTCCCTTTAAAATTGCACAATTTCTGTCGTTGACAAATCCGAACTCAAACACCAAACATCCGCCTCTTTACTGGCAGATTCTGGTGTCGATATTTCTGCAATCAATCGTTATGGGGGCTGGAAGTCAACTGTCGTTGTGGATACGTTCAAAATTTTTTAAGAAATAAAACGGAAGCTTCAAATAAGCTTTGTTCGTTGGGACTGCACTACTTGCACAAAGCAGTTTCGTGCAGTTGCACTCGTACTGTTCGTTGGGCCATGCGCAGTACAATTTCGTGCAGCCGGTGCAAGTTAGTGCAGATTTTGTTGCGCCTGCTTTCGGTTAAGTTTAATAAGTGCAGTGTAATTCAGTGTAACTAAAATGGCGGAATATTTGGAAGCGTGTTTTGTAATAAATGAAGATGGAGATAAAATAATCGAAAAGAATTGTTATTTTTGTTGTAGGTAAGTAGCTATAATATTATATAGCTATATATTATTTGTTATATTATTTGATTGTTTAAATTTAAAAAGGAAAATTTAAACAAAGGCAGGAGTTAATCGAAGAAATGAATACTCGTAATGAATTATTAAGACAACTGTTAAATAAAAAACAATGACGTCTTAAGTATTTTTTTTATCTATGATTTATTTTTTATATCATTTTTTTTTCATCATTTTCTGCGACTATTCTGCTGACAATCTCCCGTTCGTCCATTTCAAATATTATACACTTTCTTGATAAAAACCTATTCGTTGCGACCACGCTTTACGCACTTTTCTAACCTGCACTCAGTTACACTTAATTGCGCTATGACGTCATAATAGTGCCATGTCGTGCAGAGTAGGGAAGACCCAACGAACAAAGCTATAGAACCTCAACCTTCATGCTCTTATAATGTTACACATAATAATACGTCGCCAGGGTTTGTCGACATTTTTGTTGACACTTGACCTCGACGTACTTGCTCGACACGTCGACAATGTCAAATGTCGACAACGTCAACAATTCGAGGTTATATTCGTTTGACGTATAGTGCGATTAGTTCGTGGTGATCTCATGATGAGTGGCAGAAACATCGATGGGTCGACAAAAATGTTTGTCGACCTGACATTGTCGACACGTCGATAATTGATTTCTTGACATGGTAATGTCGACACAGCATAGATCCGGTACCTAATATTTCTCTAAGAAATAGAAGTAATTGTACCAACACGGCTATAAATATAAACAAATGAAACATTATATTACTTGTTTATAGATAACATTTAAGTTTATTATTTATTATTATTTTGTCGATTGTGAACAATTAATATTGACTACGTTACTAATAAATTGCGTTCATGTAAACGTACTGTTTCTTTTTTCTTGACTAAAAATACATTTTTTTCATTTGACCTTCAGAGCTCTCTCCAGAAAATAATTAAGTACGTTCAACTTCAACACGTTTCTGGTACTTTCTACTCTCTTCTCAAAAATTAATTACCTAATAAAACCTTTCTGAAAGCACGCTCAAAACACGGTACTTGCCATAGAGTGCGGTTTGATCAAAAACACCAACAGTTATTAAAATTCATAAAAATTTGCTATTGATTAAACTTCTTATTGAAGAAGCTCACCGTGTGTTTTTACATCCTGAATCGCACCCTGTCATCAATTTTCGCACAACAATATTAGATTCAATCACTGCTCAATCAAGTATTATCAAGGTGTCGCTGTTGCTTTTGAGTCAAACCGAAGTAACAAGTTCCATTTATGGCCGATCTTCCTACATTCAGAGTTTCTGAAATGAAAGCATTCACCGTTCCAATCGACCTTGCTCGTCCGATTTTAACACCAATTCACTCATTCAAGGAGCTACGACTGTCATATCCTATATATATATATGTGTTTTTGTCTGTTCAGTTACTACAGCTATACACCTTGGGTTCATTTCACATTTGTCCACGGCGGCCTTTATAGCAGCTCTTCGTAGGTTTATTACACGTAGAAGTCAACGTTCTATGATATATTCGGATCAAGGAACCAATGTTGTGGGAGCTGAAATGACTGGATCATCTTTAAATATCGTATGACGTTTCATTCCTGTTGAAGCATCGCATTTTAATTAATTATGATGATCAAAAGCTAACTTTTGAACAATTATCATCAATTCCT